GTTAATAACACTGGCTGCCCTTCCAGAGGTCTTGAGTTCAATTCCTGCCAACCTCATGGTGGCTCACAACCATCTGTAATGAGATCTGGTGCCCTCTTCTGTCATGTAGGCGAACATGCAGGCAGAACACTGCATACATAATAAATCTTAAAAAAAAAATATTTTCTTAAATGTCCTTTTCTTGAAAGAACAGGTAAATAAAGTTTTAAGTTTTATGGTATTTGAATCTATGATTTGCTATCCATAATTGTTCTGTTTTTAGTACCTAAAAATAATGTGCTGATAATTGCAGTGGGGGTGGGGAGTGAGTGTGATTACCTGAGGTTGGAAGAGAAAAGAGGCCCCAAAGTTAAGCCTGGAAAACATGCTGTGCTGTTGATTTGTATGTAGGAAGAGTTGCCTTTGGTTTCTTCCTTTCTTTCTTTCCTTTTTAAAGATTTTATTTATTTATTATGTATATAATATTCTGCTTCCATGTACATCTACACACCAGAAGAGGGTACCAGGTCTCATAACGGATGGTTATGAGCTACCATGTGGTTGCTGGGAATTGAACTTAGGACCTCTGGAAGAGCAGCAGTTGGTGCTCTTAAACTCTGAGCCATCTCTCCAGCCTGCCTTTGGTTTCTTAATGACCTAGACATTGGCTACTGTCTGTGTCTGAACTATTGACTTGGTTCAACACTTAGGACAAAACTTATAGTCCATGTAAAATGTCTTATAAATGAAACTGAAACTTGGAGATTATCCAGAAGCTTATTGTTTTAAAGCAGTGTCCTCTTCTTCCTCTTCTAAAAGCAAATGGCCGTGTGAAGTTCCGAGTTGAAGGAGAATTTGAAGCAACTTTGACAGTAATGGGTGATGATCCAGAAGTTCCATGGCGCCTTCTCAAACTTGAAATTCTAGTTGAAGATAAGGAAACAGGAGGTAAATCATCATAGTACTGGTTTTGGTATTCTTTTTTCCCCCTTAAACATCCATCCATCCATCCATCCATCCATCCATCCATCCATCCATCCATCATTTATGGTCTTGGCATTCTTATTGAAGTATTCCTGCAGAAAACTGTGTAGCAAATTATTCTGTAATTTGAAGCAAACTTTTGATAAGCATAATTACCTACTGATTGGGGAAATTTCAGTGTTTCTTAATGTATAATATTCTATAGTTTTCTCAGGATAATCCCAGGTCCCCTTTTTTAAATTTTACATTCATTTTTAGTATATACTTCCTTGGTTAATGCTATAACAGTGACTTCTCTTTTTTAATTAACTGCCTTCTTTTCTTCTGCCGATGGTAGATGGCCGAGCTTTGGTTCATAGCATGCAAATCGACTTTATCCATCAATTGGTGCAGTCTAGGCTTTTTGCTGATGAGAAACCTCTCCAGGACATGTACAACTGTTTACGTATCCTTCTGAAATTTGAGACATGTACTGTAAGGATTTTGTTTCCCTCTTTCCATTATATTTTCTGTTTACCCTTTGTCCTGAAATGTTGTAGTCTGGCCTCTCCTTCCCATCCCTCACTTTTTTTGGGTAGAAATAGACATGTAGAGCCAGTCAGTGTGAACATTAATGATACATGTATAATAAGACAGGTTTTAAATTTTATCCCTGACTTTGCAGGCAACTCCTAAAATTGATTACTTTGAAATAGTATTGTTTGCTGGCCAAGTTTGTACATGCCTATAATCCCAGCATCTGAGAGGCAAGGCTGTGTAGTTAGTAACAAAGCCAGCTTGCATTACATAATGAGAACATGTTCCAAAAAGGTACCATTTTGGTCTGAAAATGTATTGATCAATTTGTATTTTCTAAACAGTGATGAATAAAGGGATAAACCTGGATCTAGTTTTGTTTATTTAGGTCAAAATTATCAGCCCTTTTTCTAAAATTATGTCACATTACTACTACTTATGATTTGTCATTTGAGAATATAATTTTAGAAAACCACAAATTTTGTCTTATTTAGGATGAGTCATTAGACAAAAATGATTCCAAAAAATTTCTTCATTGCCAGCTTTTTGGGCATAGATTCCTTGTTAGATGACATTTGCCTGTGCTTATTTGCTGCTTATTTAACATGTTATATTGGATTTTCTTAACATAAATCAGATTGTTTCTGCTTATCACTTCAATTAGAAGTGCTACATTCCCAGACTCTGATGTTAATCCGAGAGAGGTGGGGCGACCTTGTACAGGTGGAAAGGTATCATGCTGGAAAGTGCCTCTCTCTCTCAGTTTGGAAGTAAGTAAAATTGGTTCTGGTAGGTCTGAGTTGGGGGGCGGGTTTCTTTCCCTCATATAAGTGATTTATTACATATGAATAGCTATGTGCCCAGAGTAATGTAATTTAACTTAGTTACATTCCAATATCATGTAGACCACATGAGACATCCATAATTGCTACATTTTTTAGAGTATTCCACTTTAGATTTGTAGGCATATATTTTTTTTAAGTTAGATTCACTTACTGTGGGCTCATGCCAGATTGTTCAAAGACTGTTAAGTTTAGACCAGGTTTTTGGGTTGTGCTGGTGATCAAACCCAGTGCCTTATGAGCACTCTGCCAATAGAGCTATATCCCTGGTCCCCAAAGGTTAGATTGTTGAGTTACCACTTTTTAAAACATACTTGCTCATCACAGTTTCCCATTTTAAATTGTAACTTTGAAAACTGATTTGTACTAAATTGGTATGAGGCTACTTACCTTTAATTCTTGTTTGAACTTGACTTCTGAGTTTCTGTAGAAAATCAGGCAGACTACCTATAAGGTGATTTCTGTTTAAGTTTTGTGGTTTTGTTTTGTTTCTTCTTTTTGCATATGTGAGTGCTTGTATTTTATTTTAAAATCACGATTGTTTTAAAAATGTAATAGAGCAAATGCTGAATTGGATTATGGAATAACTGTCTTCTCAGTCTTAATGTATTCCCTGCACAAACACACACTGAGGGCCTGCTATGGTCCAGGTTCTGACTCAGCATAATGCATGTTTCTGTTTGACTAGAAAAGTTAAAAAGCTGTGTTTATATGTCATTCTCCCCCTGCCCTCTTTCAGTCAACAGGTTCTGGGGAGAAAAACAGGCACAGCATCTGTTCACAAAGTTACAATTAAAATCGATGAGAATGATGTCTCCAAGCCTTTACAGATTTTTCATGATCCTCCTTTGCCAGCTTCTGATTCTAAATTAGTAGAAAGAGCTATGAAGGTAAAGGATTCTCAGTGTATTTTAATACTGATTTTATCAAATATAATTTCGCACATATAAAACTTTTAGCACAAATTTTTTTAAATATGTAATCATTTCTAAAACCTTGTATGAAACTTGTTTTAGGTCAATTTCATACTTCTGTATTTGTTTGTCTTTTTAACATCTGATACTATATAAAATAATTTTTTTTTCAAGACAAGGGTTTCTCTGTGGCTTTGGAGGCTGTCCTGGAACTAGCTCTGTAGACCAGGCTGGTCTCGAATTCACAGAGATCCACTTGCCTCTGCCTCCCAAGTGCTGGGATTAAAGGCGTGCGCCACCAACGCCCGGCTTATAAAATAATTTTTAATATCTTTCAGTTTAAGTATGTAGGACAATGCTGTGGATTGCATCTAAGCATACACTCTTTTTCTTTTTCCTTTTTTTTTTTCAAGACAGGGTTTCTCTGTATTGTTTTAGAGCCTGTCCTGGAACTAGCTCTGTAGACCAGGCTGGTCTCAAATTCACAGAGATCCACTTGCCTCTGCCTCCCAAGTGCTGGGATTAAAGGCGTGCGCCACCAACGCCTGGCTTATAAAATAATTTTTAATATCTTTCAGTTTAAGTATGTAGGACAATGCTGTGGATTGCATCTAAGCATACACTCTTTTTCTTTTTCCTTTTTTTTTCAAGACAGGGTTTCTCTGTATTGTTTTAGAGCCTGTCCTGGTACTCGCTCTGTAGACCAGGCTGGCCTCTGCCTCCCAAGTGCTGGGATTAAAGGCATACATATACTCTTAGGCTGAATTATTCCTCTAGGCTCGTTTAAGTTTTGTATTTTAAATCAGACCATTTTATTTTTTAAGCTCTGGCATCTGAGAACAGTACTACTGATATATGTGTGTGTGTGTATATATATATATATATATTTTTTTTTTTTTTTGAGGCAGAATCTCACTATGTAGTCATGGCAGGCCTGGAACTTGTTATGTAGACCAGGATGGCCTCAACTCACATAGATCAAGCTGCCTGTTCTGTCTCCCAAGTGCAAGGAAGGGTCTCATGTCACCCAGGCTGGCCTCAATCTTGTTATGTTTCTGAAGATGACCTGTGAATTTCTGATCTCCTCTCGATAGCTCCTGAGTGCTGGGATTACAGGCATATGCCACCACACACAGTATATGATATGCTAGGGAATCAAATCCAGAGCTTCCTGCATGCTGAGCACGTGGCCAACTGAACTATATACCCCCAGACTCCTGTACTTAGCAAAACACAAATTTTAGTTTTGAAGTTTCTAATGTCATACAAAATAATTAAAAACTCAGAATCATTTAAGTTATATTTTTACTTTATTTAAGTTTGTTTATACTGGTTAATCTCCAATATTGACATCTTAAGGCACAGTTGTGTGCACTTAACACTTTTATAGTCTAAATGCTTCAATTGTGCATTTGCTTTTGTTTTTGCTATTTATGCAGATTGACCACTTATCAATAGAAAAGCTCCTGATTGACAGTGTACATGCAAGAGCCCATCAGAAGCTGCAGGAAATGAAGGCCATTCTTAGAAGCTTCAATGCTAATGAAAACTGTAAGTGTTTTCAATTGATGCTCTTACTTTTCTTTTATTTAAGAGTTTTTCTTATATGATTTCCCGTGATGTATGGTTTTGTTGAAGAGGCTGGACCTTTATTGAATTTAACCTGAAATCTACCATACCTGTCCTAATTTCTTTCATTCCATGTGGTTCTCCATTTACTGTCCAAATGCTGGGATTAAAGGTGTGTACCACTCACTACTGCTAGGCAAATATGGAAAACTTCACAAATTGTCATCCTTTCACAGGGACCATGCTACTCTTCCCTGTATGGTTCCAGTTTTAGTGTATGTGTAATTTTTGTTTCGTTTTTCTAGACAGGGTTTTACTGCGAAGCCCTGGCTGTCCTGGAACATGCTCTGTAGTTCAGGCTGGCCTGAAACTCAGAGATCTGTCCCTATCCCTCTCCATGTGCTGGGATTGAAGGCATGTACCGCCATGCCTGGCTGATTTCTTGATAGTAGACATTTTAACTATAGTGAAATGCAATCTCAGGGCAGTTTTGATTTGCATTTTATTAAGAGCCAAAAATGTTGAGCATTTCATGTATTCATTGGCCCCCTGCTTTTTTTTTTGAAAACTGTTCAATTTGCTCATTTATAGTTTGGATGATTTTTCCATATTTAATTTTTTGAGTTCTTTATAGATTCTAGATACTAATTTCCAGATATATAGCTGGCAAAGATTTTCTTTTATTCTATAATCTCTATCTCTTTACTCTGGTAATTGTTTACTGTGCAGAAGACTTAATTCTACATAATCTCATTTATCAATTCTTGTTGGTATTTCCTAATGTATTGGAGTCCTTTGACTTTGTGTACATATTAAAATGTTTCAAAGTTTCTCTTCTTTTTAAATTTTAGGTTTTAAAATGCTTGGAATTTAAGTTTTAGAGACTTGCTAATAGAGATCTAATTTCATTCTTCTGTACTTGGATGTTAAATTTTTCCAGCATCATTTTGTTGATTTTTTTTTTCTTTTCAAAAACCCCACTGTGCATTTTTGGTACTGTTGTAAAAAAAATCAGATGGGCATAGTTTCCTGCGTTTGTTTCTCGGGTCTGTATTCTATTCCATTAGCCTACAGGTCTGTTTTTTTCACAGTACCATGTTATTTTGTTACTATAGCTCAGTTGTGTAGTTTGAAATAGGCTTTGTGATGCCTCCAGCATCGTGTTTGTGTGGGTGCAGGCCCCAGGACAGTTTGGACCTTGTTCTTTTGGAATGCTGTTTTACTGTAGTGTTTTGAGTCAAGATCTCTCACTGACCGTTTGCTACATAGACTAATGTGAACTCCAGGAATCTGCCCATCCCCACCTTCCTAGCACTGCAGTGACACCACCATACACAGCCTCTTTCTTACATGGGTTTTGGAAATCAGATTCTGGTCTGAGCCATCTTTCCCTACTCTCCTCTGATTGTTGTGTATTGTTTTTAGACAGGGCATCTCTATAATCCTGGTTGCTCTGGTATTTGCTATGTTTAGGGCTGGCTTGTCTCACCCTTCTGCAATCACAGGCATGTGTCATATCTGCTTCAACATTGATTTTTCTGTTCAGGATTGCTTTGGCTGTTTGTGCCTTTTCTGCTTCTATATAGGTTTTAGGATTATTTACTTAATTCTTACATTTTTGGTTGTGAGCCTAGCATTTCATAGTTGAGCCATCCATCTAGCCCTACTATGAAGAATGACTTTGGATTTTTTTTTTGTTGTTTTTTTTTTGATACAGGGTTTCCCTGTGGCTTTGGAGGCTGTCCTGGAACTAGCTCTTGTAGAACAGGCTGGTCTCGGACTCACAGAGATCCGCCTGCTTCTGCCTCCCGAGTGCTGGGATTAAAGGCGTGTGCCACCAACGCCCGGCTGACTTTGGAATTTTTAGGGAGATCAATTTGAAACCAATCATTTTCAGTAATACAACCTATAGTTGAATGTTTTTCTCTGTCACGCTGGTTGCCCTGGACCAGTTTCTCTCTCAATTCCTGGTCCCTGTAGTCACTTATGAAAAAATTACTCAGAGGCTAATACTAAATATAATTGTTTGGTCAATGGCTCAGGCTTAGTACTGGCTAGAGCTCTCTTATAAATTAAACCATTTTTAATAATCTGTGTTTCACCACGGGGCTGTGGCTTAACGGTAATGTTCTGGCATCTTACCTCTTTGACCTCACCTTCTTTCTTTCTCTATCTCTGTTTGGATTTCCCGCCTAGGTATGTTCTTCTTGGCTATTTGCCAAAACAGCTTTATTCATCAACCAATAAAAGCAACACATTTTTGCAGTGTACAGAAGGACATCCCACAACAACCATTTTGCAGAATTAGTTCTGCTGATGTATGAGCATGTTATTCTATCTTTTAGTGTGTTGGTAGATTGATAGATATAGGTTCTTACTCTACAATACAGACTATGCTGAAATGTACTGTGTAGCCTAAGCTGGCCTTGAATTTGTAGGAGTCCTACTGCTTTAGCTTTCAAAGTGCTGGTATTTTAAATGTGTGGCACCACATGTAAAATAAGGTCTGGGGATCACACCCAGGGTTTTGTACATGTTAGGTGGCAAATACTACCAACATAGCCACATCTCCAGCTCTTCCCTGAGACTTTTTTTGAAGGAATGTTGAACTTCATTGGAAGCCAGCTTATCTATTGAGAATGTCATATGGCTTCTGTTACTAGTCTGTGTTGTATTATGTTTAATAATTTGCATTTATTGAACTATTCTTGCACCCCTGAAATGAAAACAACCAGCTTGATCCCGGAGCATTATCTTTTTTTCCCTTCTAAAGTTAACAATCTTTTATTATTGAATTTGGACAGAGTTAGTTCTGTCAACTACAAAAACAGCATCTCCTGAGGCCCAGGCTTGAGGTGCAATTCTCAGAAAGCATTTAAAACGTAAGCATCTGCTTAAGGACTGTACAACAACAAGACATCCTCCAGTGTTGCAGAAGAAAAAATGACTATTTTATTCCATAACAAGCAGCATCATGAGATGGATCTCCCAGCACCACAAAACAGCAAAAATAGCAACCTTAAAAAATGTTAACTCCACATAGACCTAGAAGAAAATATCCCCTCATTTCTAAACAAAATGAGATAATATCCTCTCTTTTTTTTGACTCAACTTCTCCATTTCCTAAAGGAGAGAGCCAGAGAACAGGATGAAAAGAAATTGTTTTCCTGCCTGTCTATGAAGCCTTTACTACCACCAGAAGGCAGATCTCTAATTTCTAAGGTAGATTTCCAGAAACTTGCAAACTACTCTCAAGCTATCAACAGGGAGGACCTGAGGGCTCCTTGAAAGAGGTCTTTTGAATAATAAACGCCATAGATACCTTATAACGTATAGGTCTAACCTAACTGTATCTTGTAAAAACAAGTAGCCACAGGCACCAAACAGAGCTGGCCAAAAAGGTACAGGACCTCACTTCTTAACCGACCTCATGTCTTGCAAGAAGTGGTTATGGTTTGGGTCCAGCCATCCCTCTGTTGGTTGGGGTTCTCACACTGTCTTGCTTGGAGAGCTCAAGTACAGATACTGTGAAAGGAGATTAGGTTTCACAGAGCTGCCATCCCTGTAGCCTGTTTCCTGGATGCTTTGTAGAAGCTTTCTCCATCTAGATGGCTTTTTCAGAGCAGAAAATTTCAGTGACTTCATAACAGTTGCTCAAAGCCACTGCTGGAAACAGCCTTCTCTGTGTGTCAGGGAGTCAAAGCTCCTTCTGGTGATAGGCTTTTCTTGTCAAACTTGGAGTCTATATCCAAAGAATCAGGGGTATACCGACAATAGAGAGGGATGAACCATCTGTAGAACATGGTGCCATTACTTATTGATGGCATTGGCAAACACTCCTCTACTCCCCAGCATAAGAGTTCCAGAGTAGCATGTTTTGAGAAAAACCTGAAAAGGTTCTAATTTAAGCAGGACACAACCACATACGTGAACTGCTTCCAACTCCTTACCTAATAGGAATTGACTTGATGGGCCCATACAGTGAGGACAGTGTCATAAAGGGACATATGCTTTGGCCCATGAAAACATCTCCATGACTAGGATGAACAAAACACAAAACCATCTCTGTTTGTTGACGGCAGACCCGTCTGCCTCTCCCTCCTGAGTGCTTGCATTAAAGGCGTGCGCCACCAACGCCCGGCATGCAATAGAGTTTTAAAAGATTTAATTTGGGGCCTAGAGAGATGGCTTAGTGGATATGAACACCGGCTACTCTTGCAGAGAACCCAAATTTGATTCCTAGCACCCAGCCCACATGATGGTTCACAACTGTCTGAAACTCCATTTCCCGGAGATCTGACACCATCTGCTGGCTTCTATGAGCATTGCATGCATGTATTGTATACACACAGATAACATGCAGGCAAAACACCCCCACACACATAAAACCAAGTATCTTTTCTAATTGTTTGTTCGCTTGTTATTATTTTTGTGATGCAGAGAATCAAATTAAGAGTAAAAACATTCTCCCACTCTAATTGACTTTTATTAGAAACTTCTTGAATTGCACAGCTCCTGCTCTGCAAGGATGGAAATAAGCTCTTGAAAAACTTTTCTAAACTTTGCTGAGGTGGAACTTGACTCCGAATGCAAAAAAGCAGAGCCTGTGTGCTTGAGCGTGCCCGTGGTTGAGTTCATGATAGGGTCCCTGTCCCAAAGTGATGATCTTCCCATCTCTTAAATCACACACTGGGTCTTGGTGTGGTAGTGGATGAACCTATATTTTTCTTTCTTCCATTACATATTCTGTTACCTTTAGAATATGGATTGCCGAACTTTTTGAGGTATTTCCTACAGCTTTCTCTTCAAAGCCGGAGGACACATTATAGGTCATAAGCTTGAGAAGAGCTGCAGCCTTGTTCCTTCTGATTCAGACCAGCTAGTTACTTGCAGCACAGTGGCTTGATATGTGTGGCAAGGGAGGGAGATGTTCTGGGTCCTGTTGACAGGGCTAATTACTGCAACACAATTGCCTTCATCAACAGCTCATGTGTTGCTACCCTTGTTGGCTGGCTCAGGGCTGTAGGCAGGTCAATTTCTGGTCAGCCTTGCAGTGAAATAGGGACTCTTCTGGCTGATAGTCCTGGAATCACACATGATTTTTTTTTTAAGATTTTATTTATGTGTACAACATTCTGCTTCCATGTATATCTGCACACCAGAAGAGGGCACCAGATCTCATAACGGATGGCTGTGAGCCACCATGTGGTTGCTGGGAATTGAACTCAGGACCTCTGGAAGAGCAGTCAGTGCTCTTAACCTCTGAGCCATCTATCCAGCCCCCACACATGATCTTTTAAATGTGTT